ACGCACACACACACACACACCCCCCCTCCCTCCCAAACACACCCCACTCCCCCACCCACACCCCACTCCCCCCACTCGCCCCACCCACACCCCACACTCACGGGCACGGGCCCCGGCTTGATCGGACAGTTGATGGCCGTCTCCGGCAGCATGGTCATGAGAGGCATCATCGCCGGCGGCGGGCGCGCGTTCGGCACGGGCGCGGGCGTCGAGTCCGTCGAGTGCATCTCGTAAGAGAGCGTGCGCACGGTGAGAGCCTGCGGGCTGAGGCCGCGGAACTGCGCCGTGTCGATCAACGCGTGGTCGGCTGCAATGTAGAGGGCGCTGGTGAACATTATAGCAATGTAGAGGGCGCTGGTGAACATTACAGCAATGTAGAGGGCGCTGGTTGAACATTATAGCAATGTAGAGGGCGCTGGTTAACATTATAGCAATGTAGAGGGCGCTGGTAAACATTATAGCAATGTAGAGGGCGCTGGTGAACATTACAGCAATGTAGAGGGCGCTGGTAAACATTACAGCAATGTAGAGGGCGCTGGTAAACGTTACAGCAATGTAGAGGGTGCTGGTGAACATTATAGCAATGTAGACGGCGCTGGTAAACATTATAGCAATGTAGACGGCGCTGGTAAACATTATAGCAATGTAGACGGCGCTGGTAAACATTACAGCAATGTAGAGGGCGCTGGTGAACATTATAGCAATGTAGAGGGCGCTGGTGAACATTATAGCAATGTAGAGGGCGCTGGTGAATATTATAGCAATTTAGAGGGTGCTGATAAATATTACACGCTGCTGCTGCAACATGGAGGGCGCTGAAATTTATATGCGGCCGCAGTATATATATGTGTAGTCCTTCCTTCTTCTTTTTCTCCACCGTTACGCTCCTTTCCAACACTAACCTCCTCACCTTCCACCTTCCATCTCATTCCCCTCTACGTTCCTCCTCTCCCTGCCTCTGCCTCNGAGAGAGAGAGAGAGAGAGAGAGAGGAACAAGAAAGGAAGAGAGAGGGGAGGGGGTAGAGAGATAGGAATTTACAATAATCATATGTAATTCAGCTGCTATGACAGCATTGCTGTATTATATTGAGGGTTCATGACGACGTCGTACCGTTGCCTATGATCATTGTACACTCGGGATCCTTAGATTGGCCCTTCCTGGTGACGGTCCTTACTGATATGCGATGACTCTGTAAAGCATGTAGATGATCCGGTCAATAATATATCGCGATTGGTCTTTCTCTCTCTCTCTCTCNCGAGAGAGAGAGAGCGAGAGAGAGAGCGAGAGAGAGAGAGAGAGAGAGAGAGAGAGAGAGAGAGAGAAAGATGGAGAAAGAGAGACGAAGAGTCGCAGCGAACACCGACATCGAGAGGAAAGGAAGAAAGAAACAGCAGACTCTCCTACAGATAACAATACCTATATATACCATATCTACATTATATGTTATTCTATTCATTCTAAGGACAGCACGTACCGCCGGAGAGTGTCTGGAACTCTACGTGTGAGATGGAGGCCTTCTTGTCATCTGTTGACTTCTTGCTCTTCGCCTGCACCGATACCGTGTACCTGGTGTTGGGTGCTAGGCCTGCGCGTGCATAGCAGAAGTAGATGTTACACAAGCGCGCGCACACACACACACACACACGCCAAGAATGAATCCATTAATACAAATAAAACCTGCCAATGTTAAATTCCTTAACAAAAATTGTCCTTCCCAAAATTGGTCCCCCAACACGGATAAATCCTAAATAACTATACATCAATGACAAGGGTAGATTCTTAAGAAGTTATTCTTAACATTTGATGAACCACCAACGTAAATAAAACTCTTACAAGATACTAGATAACGCAATTAGTTTAAATCTATTCCTCGCTGCAACTACCGCAACAATAAAGTCCTGCTGCCGACAAAATCTTCGCGGCGCCATCCCTCAACCCACATCACCCGCGTCAATGCTCGCGACCTTCTCACTCACCTGTGACGAGGTACCTGAACACACCTGGCTTGGCGAGCCCCACCTGTACGTTGTTGACTGATATGGCGTGCTGGTGGTTGCTGCTGCTAGGCAACCACGTGATGGCGGCCTGCGTCGCTGTGATGTCAGACGACTTGATCTCACTAGGAGCGATCGGCAGATCTGTCCGATGCAAGGAGAGAGAGAGAATGAGAGAGGAAGAGAGAGGGCGAAAGGAAGGACAATCGAGACAGAGAAAGAGAGAGGGTGAAAGAACGAAAGATAGAGAGAGAAAAGGAGAAAGAAAGAGATACAATGAGAGACAAAGGATGAACGGAATAAAGATAAAGAGAAAAAAAGAGAACGAGAGAGAGAGAGAGAGAGAGAGAGAGAGAGAGAGAGAGAGAGA